ATAGTATAAAAACATTTACCAATTTGAAATTTTATGCTTCCCGTTAAACGGTGTCCTTTTCAGATTAGCTAAGGATAAATAAATATTAAATGGAAAGCTGGAGTGGGAAGCCAAACCATAATTGTTCCAGCTGCTGATGCAGCCCTTGCTGTTGCATACTCCCCTGTCACAAATTGAAAGATCTAATCATTAGACTGTCAAATCAAAATGCTTTCCATGAGACTATGAAGATTCATATTAAATTATGTTAAAAGAAAAATATGCTCCAGCACTAATGACAAATAAAAAAGCAGATCAGATATGCACATGATGTAATGGTTCAGTTACAGCTCTTCTTATAAATGCAATAAGATGTACCACGAAAGAAGCAACAAAAGTGAGTTTAATAACATGGCTATGCACTTGGAGAAAGTGTTTTTTTAATAAGAGAAGTACAATTAGGTCAATCATGGCTAATCCACCGAAGGTATCTGACTTTCTAGTTTGTCTACTTAAGCATATATGAAGTGATATGGTCTCATCCAATTCCTTGATTATAATAAAAATGTTCAACATAAAGGAGGGTAATCCTTTGAGAAAACAGTGCCATACCTTCAGGATGAGCCATTTTCTGCATTGCTGTTGGGGCAATCATGATGGGCATTGATATCTTGAAACCCAAAACAGTGGTAGTCATGTCTATCTTGCTTACATCAATAAGAATGCGAGGACGAAACCTATGCATTATAGGAATAAAGATTTCAAGAAATGAGACCTAAAACATTTGTACATAAAGGAATAATCTATTGTTGTTTTGCAATAACAGATAGAAAGCTCACAGGATCCTTGAGAATGCATTTCTGTTCTCCTGCAAAGTCCATTGGTCCTCTGCACCAGATGCATAGTAGTCATACACCATCTTCGGCAACTTTTGCTTTGCAATTGCCTCATACTCACTGACATTGGTTATCTCCATCTTTGCTATGAAATTTTAGTGTTCTGCCTGAAAATTTTACACTTGTTAGCACTTCAGCAACAAAAAGAATATGAAAGACTGATGGTTTACTCATTAGGACAATGATCCAATCAAATAGTGGGCTTAAAACTAGACCTGTTTTCTTCTAGACCATATCAAAAGAATATCACAAAAGAGTTTCAAATGCATGCATAAAACTACAGAGAAGGGAAAAAAAAACTGATTTTCAAATGCATCCATTCACCAGAATTGACTGGATAAAATATATAAGATACAAATCCAGGTAAGTAAATGAATCTTTCATCTTTGAAATTGAGATTTTTGAGTTGACAGTATACAAGAAAGCAAGCAAACTCATATAATCTCGTATCCAAAATACATATACAATCAAGAAATCGACTATTCTGGGACATTTACTACACTTTAAGCACTTGCCTGATACAAAAATTATTGAAGCTCTTCCATTTGGTTGCTAGAAGAAAGATATCAAAAGAAAGAAATGAAAAGTAAATGAAGCAACCATTTTCAGCATTACAACAAGCGTGCTTTGTTATTAGACCTTAAAATAAGGCAATTAAGTTTAGTTTTTGTTCTGGGAAACAAAGAATTAAGGTAAGTCTGTTGTCTTTGTATCATCTTACATATAACTCAAAAGTAAAAATTATGAAAGAAGGAAGGAGGAAAAGCAAAGACGTAAACATAAACGTAAACAGAGTGAAAACACATAATCATAAACATGGTAATCTGAGAGAAGTGTTGAGCCAAAAACGTAAACATGGTAAAATGTCACGTTATAAGAGAATTGAAGCAGAATCATGACAAGTATTTTAGCCTACTGTCTGAACCAACATACGGAAAAAAAGTAATGAAAAGAGAATGAAATGGAGTACATAGAAGCATACCTTTCCAAGACTATGCACCAGAGTGCATGCAGAGAAACCAGATAGAGATAAACTCTACTATATATTTTAATGTAAGAGAAAGAAAAGGATTGACTATGAAAAAAAAAAAAACAAAGGGCTTATATATGAGTTTGAATGTGACAAAAAAATAGTGGGGTACATATTATAGCATGTAGAATATATAAACCATACAAAAAAGGAAAGAGAAAAAAGTAGGAAATGATAAGTTAAGTGGATGAGCATTTGGAGGTGAGAATTTGAGACCAAATCCCGTTAGCTATTAGGGAACTCTCGTCCACATAACCTTTGTGTGTTTCACGGTTTTCTTTCTCTATTATCAGTTCTCATCCAAAATAAATATAAATAAAAGGATACGGAAAAAAGATTAGTATAAAGAAGGGATATAATCAATCAAGAAATTTGTGAGAAGTGAAAGTGACAATGGTGGTTCTCTCTTCATATATATAAAATTTGAATGCAACGTTTTTTAGTTTTTTTTTTTTATTTTACAAAAGAGATCACAGTAGTATCTGTTTAAATTTAAACTCAAATAGCTTTATAAATAATCAGAGTGAAGGTCCGGATTCATTTTCAAGTAGTCCTGTCATTTGTGTTTTGATTAGTTAATTCTTTTTAATTGGGACAAAGATTGTTTTCATAAGTCATAGGAAGTGTTACCACTAGGGCTGTAAACGAGCCGAGCCGAGTCGAGTAGTGAGAAGCTCGAGCTCGAGCTCGACTCACAACTCGGGGCTCGATACTCGGCTCGAGCTCGATCGAGTTTTATTTTTCAAGCTCGAGCTCGATTCGTGATCGAATTCGAGCTACTCGAGCTCGCTCGATTAAGCTCGATTAATATGTAAAAATAAGCTCGATTCGTATACTCGACAAAAGTTCGATTATTCATGCTCGAACTCGAACTCGAACTCGGATTCGAATTATTTTATTAATTAAAAAAAATAAAAATATATTTAAATATAAAAGCTCGATTAGGCTCGCGAGCTACTCGAGTCAGATATAAGAATACTCGAATTTCGGCTCGATCGATAAGTCGAGCTACTCGAGCTCGAGCTCGACTCGACAATAATCGAACCGAATTCGAATTTTTTTCGAATCGAACCCGAGTAGCTTGCGAGTACTAATGTATCATTTACACCCTTAATTACCACTGCTTTAAATTTAAATTAATTCCATGCTTTATTTGGGCTTGACCAACCAAAAGCCCAACGAAAGTTCAAAGAATCAAAAGCACGCCAACTTTGTAAGGTCAACAAATTATCAAAATATCCATTTGAACAATACGTGTCACGCAATGGATGGTCTACCACTTCAATTTTTTTTTGGGATCTAAATCTAAAAGAAGAGGTAGTATACCTTTCAAAAGAGAAAAAAAATTAGTGTAGATTCAACCAAAAATATATATAATGGTTGAAAAATGGTTAAATGATATAAAAACTTTATAACTATAATTAAAAATTCATATAAAATTTTTTTTATTATAATTAATCACTCCCTATAACAATTATTTGTATTTATTTAAATTTTAAATTAATTTTTTATTAAATTAAATCGGATACGAATTATATGTATATATATATATATATATGATAGATCTGAATTGAGTATAAAAAATAATAATTTGATATCGAGTTGAAGTTGAAATGAATATAAATTTATTCTTACAAGTTCAGTTATTACTTTTAAGTGAAAGTATATATGTGATGGGTTTTTTTTTTTAAATTTTGAAAAGATAAATTTAAAAGAATAAATTTGTATGATTGATTATGCAAGTTATGAGAATGAAATGCATTCGTTATCTATAAATTAATTCATAAATTTTTACTTATCATAATTTTTATTAAAAATTTATATAAAATTATATTCATTAATTTACTAAATTTAATATTTTTAAGTAAAAATAAAAAAATTTTGGATCCGGGATAAAGTGTAAATACATTAGTTATCTTATATTTGGTTTCAATAATTAGGTTTAAACAAGTTTAGGTGTTGACAAATTTAGTAGAATTAATTGGCTTACACCATGCTCCATCAATCGCATTGACTAAAAAAAATTGTTAGAAAGGCATAAATATGTTCGGTTTTAGTTTGGGGCCTCCTATATATTGGGTTTGGTCCGCATCGTTTATTTGATGGCATGGATATTAAATTTATTCAAGCCTTAGTTTAAGTTTGAAATTCTATCCTAATTAACTTTCATACACGCGTATACTTATCGTTGCATAATGCAAGATTTTTTTTTCACTAAAAGATAAAAAATGTTCTTGAATTATAATTTAATAATTATTTGAAAATTTAAAATTTTATTATAATTAATTAAATCTTTAATTTTATATTCCAACTCAATTGAATATTTAAAATGAATAAAATCTGATAAACTTTAATCAATCAACTTTTGAATTATAATTAATTAAATCTTACAAGATTTTAAAGAGAAAATGGAAGAAAAAAAATAAGAAAAACAAAAGAAAAATAAAAGAAAATTATTTTATTTAAATTTTACATATATTAAATACAATACATTACAAACTTTAATATATTTTATTGACATTACATTAAATTTTATCTTTATTAAAAAAATTAATGATATTAACTTTTTATCTTGATTTAATTAAATGTAAATAAATCTTAAAAAAATAATTAATTATAATAAAGAGATGAAAAGTTTGAATTTTTTTAATTATAGTTCATGAGTTTTTTTTACCCTTAACAAACTTTATGTATTTATGATTGCAATACTTTTAAGTTTTGTTTATGCGTTATCTTTAAGAAGCAATTATGATGAACATCAAATTTTTTGGTTGATGAATCAATTTGAAATTTAATAATCATTATTTTTGAAAAATAAATTATTGATGTTATTAATAAAATATTAAAATTTTAATTTTAGTGATTAAAAGATAATTTCAAACAAAAAAAATAACACTCATAATTTTTATGAAAATATTCAAATGTTTATATTTCTAAAACGTAATGATTTATTATGTACTTTTGTCATCCTTATAACCAAGCTATACGGAGAGACCCAATTAAAAAGGACTTTAAAAGCCCAAAGCCCCAAACTCAAATAAATAAATAAATAAATAAATAAATAAAAATCTTCGTTTTTAAGGTTCTCAATTTTTGACCGCATTTGAAGTGCAACTTGCATTAAAGGTCTTCCTTTCGTTTTCAATATTCAATTACAGAGTGAAAGACAGTACAGCAAAGCCACAGCAATGGCGGATCCAATTAAGAAGAAAATGTTGAAAGAAGAAGTCGTTACCTACGCTTACCTCCTCCTCTACATCGCTCTCTCCAGCGGTCAAATCTTCTTCAACAAGGTCGTTGTTCTTCCTCTCTTCTGGATCTCTCGTTTTCATTAACTTCATTGAGATTGAGGAAGTTTAATTTTTTAGACTTTATATTGTTGAAATGTTTATATTTTCGTAGAAATTAAGATCGTGTTTCTGATGGTTGTAAATAGTAAATTTGTGATGTAAAAATTTGCCTTTTGAGGTATTGCTTCGTATGTAACTTGATAAATACATCGACATTGAAGGCGTGCTGTTGTTTTATCAAACTTGCTTAAAGAAACATTGTTTTATTTGTTTAATTTGTCATGCCTTCCCCAATTTGAAATGCATATTTTGCTGGTATTCTTGGTGTAAATGTGTGTCAAGGCAGTTTGAAGGCGACAATATGATAATTTATGTCGATGATTTTATGCAAGGAGACATATTTTCTTAATAGTATTCTAGCTTGCTTGTACTCCTCATACTTGATGGGCCTTAGTTTTACATTATGTTTGGTAGGAAGGAGGGAAAATGGAGGAAAAAGAAAAAGGTGAGGAAAGAAAAAAGGAAGGAGCAGAAAGTAATTTTTCCTTTATTTTGCTTAGTAGGAAGGATGAAAAATAGAGAGAAAGAAAGAGGTTAGGAGTAAAGTTGTAAATAAAATTTTTAATTTTAAGTGGAATGAGTTTTTGACTTTTTTCCTACCTCATTTGAAAGCATTGGATTTTGAGGGAAGGGAAATGTGCAAATCCACTCATTTTTCTTCCCTCTTCCTATTTACATCCTACCAAACAAAGGGAAAGATGGAAATAGGGGAGTTTTTTCTTCCACCCCTTTTTCCTTCCTTCCTCCTTTCCCTCTTACCAAACACAATTTAGGATAGCTATATGCATTTGTGAATGATGTTTGACAATATGTTGGTAACTACTTAGATCCTCATGTGAGAAAATGCAGTTTTACTTATACTTTGTTATATGTGTCTGAAAAATGGTGACTCTTCAGTGGAATGGCGTAAATTGCAGTTAGTAACTATCTTTACTGCTTATGCATAATCTTTTTCCACAAACTTTTGCAACTTCAGAGTTTAGAGACTATGTTGTTAATGTCTAATACAATGTTTTCTCTATAAGTTCAAGCATTTTGTGCATTATTAACTGGACCATGTTGTCCTTCAATTTTCAACGTTGCTTGTTATTTTTGAACTATAGAATGGTTGTTTGATATGGTAAACAACAAGAAACTCTTATAACTTTGATTCATAAGGCTGATATTGGGTTTTTGTTTTCTTCCATTTCTTTGGAAATTGCAGTGGGTTTTGTCATCTAAGGAAATAAATTTTCCTTATCCCCTTGGGTTGACTCTGCTTCACATGGTCTTCTCTTCTGTACTATGTTTTTTACTCACTAAAGTCTTCAAGGTGCCCACAACACTATATATTTATGATAGACTGGTACTGTGCTATGATTTTTTAGTTTATTCGTTTGGCAAATTTTGATGGTTCTTTCTCTATTTTCCCCCCATCTCAGATTATGAAAGTTGAGGAAGGAATGACCATAGAAATGTAAGTTACTAACAGAGCACCTTATATATGATGCTTGAATTCTTAAGTTTAGTTCTATGTATTATTAGCTGCATGTTTCTTTACTTGCTGATTCATTAGTGTCTTTAATAGTAACTGAATATGAACAGACGCACTCTTGGCTGAAAGTTGAAAGGTCACAGATGTGATCCGTTTTATTGATAAAAGGAAAGAAAAATGTTTCTTTGATGATACAAATGCACAAAACTTCTTGCTATGTCAGTTCGACAAGCCTCTAAGTGCTTTATTACATTAAATTGCAAACTCTTATCTGGATGTGATCAAGATGGAAGCAGTTTTATGAAGAAGAGAAAGATAACAATTTTCTGATGATAAATTGAAATGCATCTCATACCATCTCTTTGGTCATAACATATCTTCCTAAGCTGTCTGATATATATCTTTTGTCATACATCTGATCTTTAATTGAGATTATTTTCAGAATAGCAGTACATCCTTGTTGCTATTTCATCATTTCTTGCATATTCTTCTTTTTCATTTTATGTATACATTTAATTTGATGAAGTTATATATGCTCAGATACACAACATCTGTTATCCCTATTGGTGCCATGTTTGCAATGACTCTTTGGCTGGGAAACACTGCCTACCTGTATATATCTGTTGCATTTGCACAAATGCTGAAGGCAATTAGTAAGTTGTCAAAATTCATTAGGCAAATTATGCTTAAACCCTATGTGCTTTTTGTGGGATTCATTTTAAGTGCATGTGCTTTTAAAATTTATTCTTAACCCCGTGCTTTTTTGCCTTTTGACTAATGGGGTTATGCTGTTAAAAGATGGCACATATGTGACAGCTTCTTCTGGTTTCTCTTTTTAAGCAAAAAGGCAGTCCTTGCTTCAGTTTGTTATGCCTTTTTCTTGATTTTTGAAGATCCAATAATCGTTATATGGAACCTTTAGAGACCAAAACACAGAAGGAACAAAGTGTTAAAGGAGATAACATATTCCTTTGATTCACATCAATTTGTTATAACAGTGAGCCCTTTCCTCAGTTTCTTCAGCAGCAAAGAGAGCGAAATAGAATTATAAAGGGTATGAAGGAGAATTAGAAAATAAACATAGCTTAAGAACTAAAACCCTTCTTTTCTATATCAACTAAGTCGAAGAAAACAAAAACCTGAAGGCTCGAAAGCTCATTTTCTTCAAGCCACAATAGAGAGCACCAAGAGGGAAAAAATTTACGCAAAGAACCTTTCAAGCAATCACAACCCTGATACCTCGAGTGGTATAACAGTCAGCTATATTTCCTCAACATAATGCCCCTCGGTGTGCCATAGTGATACCCTCTCAGCAGAAAAGAGAAATGATAATATGGAAGCTGTTAGAAATATTAAAAGAAGAGGAAACAGAAAGAAAAATATCAACTAAATAAATTATTTTCAAGGTTCACTTGCTTCCTGTTCATAAGTCATATTGCTCATGAACCACAGCAGGGAGTCAAAACCTGTATGTTATTTGAATGCACACCACCTACATCTTTGAAGGAGCAGTTTGGCCACATTTGAAGCCATTGACTCGATGGACTAGTAAGTGGAGCAGCCATGAAACTTGACAAAAAAGACCAAAATCCTTGTCCAAGTGCATGTTCATGGTGGGTTTTGCATGTCAAAACTTGTCCATGTTTTCCATTCTGAATCGTATCTGCTTTTTCTTCTTCATTCACCTCAGTTTCTCTGTACTTACCAAAACAGTGGTTGAATGCTGGATCAAATACACACGCACACACACAGGTGTGCATGCATATATATTGACGAGGTTGTTTTTGCAAATTCATTCAAGTGGGTAATGGTTTGACTTGTTGATAAGTCAAACAGTGAGATGCGTGAGGTTAAGTGAAACTTTTATAGCATGTTATATGAAGTTAATTCTGCCCAAACCACGAGGGATTAAGTGTAATTGACTCTTTGTTGGGTTTTTCTACCTTTTCAGGTGGATAAGTAATGCCTGTATAAAAGTAAATGGGTCTCCACAGCTGTAAATTGTTTTTTGATTTTGCGTCAGATGTTAGTTTGGTGATTAACTCCTAGGTAATTCAAACACTGTGAATTAGGGTCAAGACTATGTGAATAAATACTTTTATTTTATATGTTACTTGTTATTTAGATGGTAGGTTGTGATATCACTACTTTTCTTGAATGATTTTTGCAGTGCCAGTGGCTGTTTTCATCCTTGGAGTTGCAGCAGGACTGGAGGTAATGAGCTGCAGAATGCTTTTAATAATGTCCGTGATAAGTTTTGGTGTTCTTGTGGCATCTTACGGAGAAATAAATATTAGCTGGATTGGAGTTGTTTACCAAATGGGTGGTGTTGTTGGAGAAGCTTTAAGACTTATATTCATGGAGATTTTGGTTAAGCGAAAGGGCCTCAAATTAAACCCTATATCTCTCATGTATTATGTTAGTCCTTGCAGGTATGTATTACATTATTCTTCTAATTTAGCCAGTATCCTCTTCACAATATTTCACTTTCATTTCTCTATATAGAATTGATGCCAGTTAGGATTGAATTTTGAATTTTTCCGTTCTTTGCAGCGCTATTTGTCTGTTTATTCCTTGGATCTTTCTGGAGAAACCAAAAATGGAAACCCATGGGATGTGGAACCTTCAGCCTGTTGTGCTAACACTCAACTCTCTTTGCACATTTGCACTCAACTTATCAGTTTTCCTAGTGATCTCACACACTAGTGCTCTAACCATTCGGGTTGCTGGAGTTGTCAAGGATTGGGTGGTTGTTTTATTATCTGCCCTTCTTTTTGCAGATACAAAGTTGACAGTCATAAATTTATTTGGTTATGGCATTGGTTAGTATCTGAAAGTACATTATCTTTTGTATCTTTACCTTTTCTAATGAGCATTTATCTATTATCATTTTGAGGATATAGCCAAGGGCTGACAATCCATTTACGTTATGGAGGGTTAGGATGTAGCTCAGTCATTCAGGTTATTCTTAAAAATTGACCTTAACTGCAGATGGTTTAGGTAGAATGAATTAAAGAATTCTGAATTGGTTGATAGGAAGAATGACTCCTTCAGGCATGGTTGGGCTTATCCGTGGGTTTGTTGGACTGGCCATGAATTTTTATGCTTTAAATATGCCAAAACTGCTTAATTTGTCTTGTTTTTCCAGTAGCTTATCATGGCATTGCGGGACTGTTTAGTAGTATTTATGCCTTTCATAAACCAAATCTCTGCATTAGCTGTTTAATCTGTTCTTAGGGATATCTGATGCTACACGCTATTATTGATTTACTCCTGTTTTTTTTTTTTTTTTTTTTTTTGTTGCATTTAGTGTCAGTTCATTGTTGAAATTTATTTTAAAGGTTGGAATGACCATGGTAGACTGAGTGTTCTTGCTTTGGTTGCAATGGAAGAAAGGGTTCACATAAGTCATAACTGAACTAACTAGTTTGAGATTAAGGCTTACTTGAGTTTGATAGCTTTGAGATTCGGAAGACGTATAGGATTTACAGGATTATACTCTTCTGTCAGAAGTTTAGTTATCATTTTTGATGGCTACATTTCTCTTTAGTTTTAATTTACAACTAGGTATATCTATAATCTTGGAGCTTACCCTGCTTAAGAAAAATTATTTTAACAATTAGATGCAAGCCATTTCTCACATACCTAATTTGTAGCTTGTCTAAACTAATATCTTATGCATGGTCATTTCGATGAAGTATGTAGTACATTTATTTCATTATGAGCTTGAATGACTTTTAAATGTTTCGGAAGTTATTCTCTCTAAAGCAGTTTCTTTGCAGGAATTATCCTGATGCAGTCCTAGCCTTCAAAAAACTTGCATGTATCAATATTGTTAGATATTGGAGCAACTTCTTGCCTATTTCTTTTCGATGAATTAATTGAATTTATTTTTTTTATGTAGCCATTGTTGGTGTGGCTGCATATAATAATCACAAGTTGAAGAAAGAAGCTTCTCGTCGTGTCTCTGATGACTCCCAAGAGGGGCAGGCCATACTGATGGCTGCATCCTCAACTCCAAATAGATAGTTATGTACAATATGATTTTGAAGTATATAATTGCATCCGACAGAGCTATTCCGAATTGCCAGTTGATCACATTGGTCTCTATTTATTTTTTTTGCCACTACCAAGCTGCAGCCATTGTTATATTGGAGAAAGTGACATGTTGAGATCTAAGGTAAAGAAGAAAAACTGTAAAGAAATACTTGGAAGCTATAGTGATATGACTTTTGCCTTTGATATGTCTTGAATTTTATACACATTGACAATTGAAATGCACATGGTTTTATTGGTATGGATTTAGCAGGGTAAAACTTTCAGCTTATTTTGGGATATATTTTCAGTTTTTTTTTTTTTTTGTGATATTGGACTACAGAATGTAAAGTAGTCTTCTCGCATTCCCTAAATCTCATTCAATCGATTTTCATAATTCGATGTTACAAAAACCAAAAAAAAAAAAAAAACACACACACACACACACACAATACCTACTTGTCTGACGCATGAGGTGGGGCAACTCGAATGTACCAAGTCAAGGCCACCGTGCAAAATTTGGACAATCTGATGTGGACTGAGGTTATGAGCTGTAACAAGTCACCAAAGTCCACTTGAATTGCACTGAACTTTTCCACCTCTCCCACTTGTGGTAGTGCATTTGTGTCTAATAAATCCTATGTGTCCCCTCCATTTCCTTTTCTTGGTGTCTTATGCAATATGGCATTTTTCGTGTTTCTAGCTCTAGAAGAAGGAAAGCAAATGTTCCTATTAGTGATGTCCTTTTGCTTTGCTCCTTTTTTTTTTCCTCTAATTTATTGTAACATTGGTTTTTGTTCGTGTAAACTAAAATGATGTCATTTTTAAAAGAGTTTATAATTTTGAATACGATATAATAGAATATATAATTTTAAATAAGATATAATAATATAATATAAAAATTATAAAAAAAAAACATAAAAATGATTTGATTTAAAATTTTAATAAAAATAATATATATTTAACAAAAATAAAAAATATATTTCATGTTTGACATATTTATATGAATTATTAAATAATAATTTTTGTATTTTATATATATTTTACATAAAACATGTGTGACATAAATACATAAATTATTATTGTATAATTTCTAATACTTTAAATGAACCTAATCTATTCCTGTATAATTCGGGACGGAGGGATGAGAATGGAAACAAAGGGCATATGATAAAAATGGATTATTGCCGAGTAGCTAAACGGGTATGGGAAAAGTGGGGTCCAATTTTCTTTGTCCAATTTCTGTCTGGGGGCCCACCACAAATTATTGATCCAGCTATAAATATGCTGTTACAAATAGAAAAAGGCCCAAAATAACAATTAATTAAGGGGAAAAAAGGGCTTTTTTTTTTGTTTTTTAAATGAAATAACGAACCCACACGAGATTTTTCTCCTTCTTTTGAAAGGCTAGCAAAGGGGAAATTTTGATTTTGAAAGCAAATTTTCCCTAAAAAAAATTAAAAGGAGATGCGACTACAGCGGTGTGGGTGGGCGTCCGATGAGAGATCGTCCAAGGAGGACCACCACCGTTGATGGGATTTGTCAAGTTGCAAATGACTTGGCAGCCGAGTCTACTCAGTGAAAAACGGAAGAAAGGTCCTCCATTAGGCTTAAGAAACCTCGGCAACTCTTGTTACCTCAACAGCGTTCTTCAGTGTCTCACCTACACTCCACCACTCGCCAATTTCTGCCTCCGTTCCCAACACTCCTCCTTCTGCGACGCCTCCGCCTCCAAAAATCCCCGCGACTGTCCGTTCTGTATCCTTGAAGCTTGGATTACACGCTCCTTAACCCTTGATCTCACCCTCGACGCGCCTTCCAAGATCCAAAGTTGCCTTAAAATCTTCGCCCAGCATTTCCGGTTCGGTCGACAAGAGGACGCTCACGAGTTCTTGCGCTATGTAATCGATGCTTGCCATAACACGTGTCTGCGTTTGAGGAAATTGCGGCGAAAGGGAAGGGATGAAGAAGGAGGAGAACCGGTGAATGGCAATACCGTAGTTAAGGAGATCTTTGGAGGTGCTTTGCAAAGCCAGGTTAAGTGTTTGGGGTGTGGTGGGGAGTCAAATAAAGTTGATGACGTTATGGATATTAGCCTTGATATATTGAATAGCGGTTCACTAAACGAAGCTATGCATAAGTTTTTTCAGCCTGAGGTTTTGGATGGGAACAATAAGTACAATTGTGACCAGTAAGCTCAAATTTCAACTTAATTTAATTATTAGTATTAAGGTTTAGGGTAAGTAGCAAAAGCAGCCTTATTTGTTTAGGTGTTGTTGTTTGTTGTTTGATTTTGTTACATGCTTTTACTTTCTGAAGCAGAAAAGTAAAGTAGGAATTTTAAAGACTAGTACTATAGCTTTTCTAGAGAACAAAATATGTGGTTTAAATTGTTGTAATGTAATTATGTTAGAATTGGTGTTATATGATTTTAGTCTATTATGATTTTGTATATTTTATCATTGTTTTTGGCTTTATATAGACTTTTTAGGAAGACAAAAAAAAAAAAAAGAAAGCAAAATTCAAGAGGAAAGCAACAACCAAATTGAGCCTGATTAAACACTTTTGTTTTTCTTTTGCTTATTGATTGTTTTTTGAATGAGAAACTTATGGTTGTTTAGTTGCAAGAAATTGGTGGCAGCAAGGAAGCAGTTGTCAATATGTCAAGCACCGAATATACTTGTTATCCAACTGAAGGCAGGTTATGTATTTCTTTAAATTCATGATCATGGTTTTCATTGCCAATATTATAGTTGCTTAAGTTATTTTTTTATTGGTTTTTGGAGTAAAGGAGTATTGTTGGATCATTATGGCAGAGATTTGAGGGGATATTTGGTACGAAGATTGATAGACTCATTAAATTTGAAGAAGTTTTGGTTCTTTCAAGTTTCATGTGTAAAGCAAGCCAGGTGTGTTAAGTTTCCAATTCAACATATAAGTTTGTTTGGTTGGTACAAGTTGCATTTGGAGCATTATATGAGAATCTTAGTTTATCTTGGTGAATAATAATGATATAATATGAGTTGCAAGTTGACTAATAATATCTCTCCATAATGATAATGATAACTTGGGATGGTTTCCACTTTACTGAAAGAAGATAACCAATTAGAAAACTTAGATGAGTATGATGGTAAAGGAGGATGGAGCGGCAGACTAGCACAAGCTGAATAATCTGATTTGGCTGAATCAAGTTGGTTGCTGCTGAGAGAGTGCTGTGGATGTCATATTAGCATTAATTGCTTATGGGCTTTTCTTTTGCTTTTGTGGAGACTAGCTACAGAGCTTTCCTTGTTTGTTTTACTGAATGATTGTGGAATATTGTAGCATCTTAATGTGTTTGCTAGCAATCTTTATTATTTGACTTTTCTAGGACCATCATGTGTGCTTGAATATGTCAAACATATGTTTATATTTAGTGAATGATGAAAATAGCCCTGGACTTTGTTATAGATAAGAGGTATGTTTTAGGGGTTAGTACTTATCCTATTCAATATTGCATATGCTTCAGTCATTACATTGGTTGGTTAGCAATGTCGAGTAAGTCTGTCACCCTTATGTTAGAAGAAGAAAAGTGAATGGTAGTGATTGTCAAGGAGTGCATGATCTGTTTGAGGGAATTTCTGCATGTTTCTACCCAACAGAATTTGCTACTGTCAAAAACATTTTCTTTGTTAACCCCTATAAACTAATGGATTCTACTTGTTATATGACATATATCCTTTCTTTTGCTTTTTTTTTTCTTTTTGTAATTTTGTGTCATTTTCAATGCAGGATCGGCAACCAGAGTATAATCTATTTGGTACTATTGTGCACTCAGGATACTCACCAGAATCGGGACATTATTATGCATATATCAAGGTGCTTATGCTGTCCTGTTTCTTTCACTTTATATGTTTGCTTCAGTGCAGCAATGTTGATTAGTTGCTGACATTAGTTCACTGTTTTTAAAGGATGCAATGGGAAGGTGGTATCGCTGCAATGACTCCTTTGTCTCACTTTCAACTCTGCAGGAGGTCTTGTCAGAGAAGGCTTATATTCTTTTCTTCTCTCGCAATAACCCAAGGCCAGGGTATTTAGGTTCCACATTTTCTTCCAATGGAGTTAAACCACATGATTCTAATGGAAGTGAGGCATCCAAAATACTGAAAGCTGTTCAATTGAAACCGGTCCAAACAAAACATTGTATCGAACAATATTCACAGGAGGATAAGGTTGGAAAACTGTCTTCAAGCCCACAGGTTAAATTCAGTATTTCTGAAAATCCTGGTCCCAAAAAGCTTCCTGTTACAAATAATGGAAAAGTTGGCTTCCATAAGACTCAGAACATCGCTGTGAATGGAGTTTCGAAGGAGTCAATCCCTGTGGAGAAGAATGTGAAAGATATGTTGTCATTCATGAGCAGGAATGGTATTGACAAGAGTAGAAAAGTTGATGCTGTTGGTAGTGAAAAAAGCCAACCATTTGCACTGGCAAATGGAAATTCTATGAAATCTGATCCTTTTGCAGTTAATGGTAACAGGAGCAAGGTTGTTGGGGGGCAGGTTGATACTGCTATTTTTGATGCATGTAACAAATCAGTGCAAAAGAAAATTTCAGAAAATTCTTGTGATATTTCAGGGCCAAAGAGAAAATCAGAAGATTCTTGTGACACCTCAAAGCCAAAGCAAAAATTAGAAGATTCTTGTGATATCTCAGTGCCAAAGAGAAAATCCAAAGATTACTGTAATTTTTCAGGGCCAAAGAGAAAATCAGAATCCTCTTGTGATATTTTGGGGTCGAAGAGAAAACCAGAAGGCTCTTGTGATAACTCAGGTCCAATGATAAAACCAAAAGAGTCCTTTGTTAACTCAGGGCCAATGAAAAAATCAAAAGACTCCTGTGATTACTCAGGGCCAAAGAAAACAGAAGACTCCTGTGATTACTCATGGTCAAAGAAAACAGAAGACTCCTGTGAATTCTCCAGGCCAAAGGGAACATCCTGCATTTTGCTTTCCCAGGATGCTCAATCTCATGCCGAAGTTGAAAATATGAAAGAAATGTATGCAACAATTCTATCTCAATTGCTTTAGAGAAGCCTTTTATGGTATAATATTTACTAATTACTCTGTTGGTGCTGCATATTAGTCGTTTGCGATTATGAGGTTTTCTTTTAATGGCATTGTTTTTTCGTGTCATACCTAAAATCTCTTTGATTCTGAGATCAATTAGTTTGAACTAGAGCGTGGCTTAGCTGGTCTGAGAATTGTGGATTTAATCATTCTAGTTTTCCTTTTTGGAATTATATTAGAAATCACTTGTCAAGCAAGTGTCCCCTTACTTGCTGTTAACTTGTACAGATAAGCAAGAACTTTTGTGTGTTAGTTTCTTAATTAGTTGAATTATAACCAAATTTTTGTTAGTGTGAATATATACTTTATTAATACATATATTTATATATCTATCAAAATAGTTGTCTTTGCTTGTTTGTTATACTGTATCTGACAATAGTTATCCAGGTTTAGAGAATTGATTCCCTTACTGGCGTCAATACATTCTAGTTATGTAGGATTTCTTTACTGTTCAGCTATTGTGTTTAACTTTTCAAAATTTTTTTTTATTTACTTAATTTTATTTATTAATTTTGGCTTGTTTTCAATTCGATGCACTATTTACCAGGTTGAAAAAAGAAGCTTCTTCAGTTTTGCGATCATGTGGCTGGTATGGTGATGTTTACAATTTCATGTATTCGAGGAAGCAGTTGTGCTTACTGGAGACTGGAAGCACTCTGAGTGGCAATGATTTAGTGTAAGCCTTTCTTAAACTGTTTTGTAACATGTTTATGTATGCACAATTTAATTCTATGTTCACTTCAAGTATGCATGAATTTTTTAGGAATTTATGAACTTTGATGTAACAAGTTTTTGATACATTTGAGTTTTGACCAATTTCAATAAAATTGGTCTAAATTGTTTTTAGGTTTGACAAACTTCTGCTGAAACGTACTTACATAAAAAAGCAAGATTTTTTTTTGTTTCTAACAACCTAGGGCTGATTTGACTTTGGATTTGTGTTGGCATAGCCCGGTTTGGACCACATATATAATGCTGATTGGATTTAGAGTTTTCTGCTCAAACTAGCTTTTGAATCAAGAAAGTGCTTTGCATCACTTTTTTCCAAACCACAGTATTTTACTCCACCGCGGGACCTGACTAAACCTTTTTCAAATTAGCAATTATGCATTGAATTTATGTAGGTTTGTTATCCAGTTTTTTTACTTGTAGTTTAAAATATATATATATAACCTGTACTATTGTTTATGTACTATTAGTTAGAAACAAAAACCAAAAGATTGTTAATAAGATGCATTCCTTTTTCTTTTAATATTTAGTTTGTGTGAGGTGCTATTTTATGAGATTGATGTGATAGAGTGGGAGACAATTGCAGAAGTAAAAATCCTTTGGAGTAGAAGTCAATTCTAAAGGAGCTGAGGTGTAGTGGCTGGAAAAGGAATAAAATGATTGGAAAATAATGCAAGCTGACTGAGCAAGTCGGGGAGGTGAATAGTGTGAAGTACATCGCTGGTGACTAGGACTGGTGTAGTTGACTTGTAAGCTTTTAGTTTTGGTTTCTAGATAATTAATGCAGAGCAAGGGTGGGGAAAAGGGAGAATGTAGAGATCAGGAAGAAAAAAAAAAAAGAGGGAAGGGGAGAGAACCATAAGAAACTTAGAGAGAAAGAAAGACAGAGGAAAAGGGGGAAGCAGGAGATGCCCCAAAAATAACCGGCTAAAGTATCGATTCGTACAAACCATAATTCCCTGACACACGCACACACACTTAGGCACTGGACAAATAGAAAGAGAGAGAAGTTTTGCTGTGCGGAACTAATATGCATTAGTGGTTAATATTGGGTCTTAACAGAAGCATCTGTAGTAGTAGCATCTGAAATTGGTAGCCCCTGCTCGCTGGCACGTATTGGCATCCTTTTCCCACGAAGCTTTGGTATTAATCTTTCCTTCTTGTCTGCAAAAAGGTTGCTGGCATCCTTCAGAATGTATTGATTTAGGGTAATTGGGCATTTTCAGATTTGGTTTTATTAGGGACACCATGTACGTGCATTTATAATCAGTTCCCTTTGACTGTGGATTTCAATTTGTACATCTGTTATACTTGCAGTTAGTTTTTTCCTTTTCCTTCAATTACTTTTGTAAGGGCATTTGCATTTATTTCATTAAAACATTAAAAATGGCTTTTTATTTCCTTTGCTAGATGCACTATCCAAAATTCATTTATGAATTTCATATTCTATTTTACTGGCAAGCAATCTCCCATCCTCTTATTACCGTTGTATACAATATCAGCATTATTAGGTTTCATGGATAGGAAACTTTGAGTCATGCCTTTGCAACTTTTATGCAGGAAGAAGTTGATTGCAGATGCAAAGCCAACTTTTATTCCACAAATACCTGAGTCACTGAAGGAGGAATTAATTAAACGTCTTCAATCTTTTAACCAAACAAAACAAGATCCTTGATCAGCATAGTTGGTATTGAAGCAAATAAAACAACTTTTCAATTCTCAAAATTCAGTTATTCTGATTTCTGGTAATCATGGATTTGACTTCTTGGCTAATTTCTATTCTTGCCAATGTCTTTTGCAGTCCTTTAGCCTGGAACCTTGTTGTAGCATCTGTATTACTAATTGGTGTTTTAGAGAAAGAATATCATTTTGTGCATGTTACTCCTGTCGGGATCAACTGCCAGCAGTGGCAGGAGATTGCCTTCTTGTCGCATCAACATTTGCTGATGGCAGCAAGCATGATGCTCGTCGGTGCCCTATGAATGATTTTGAGATGACATGGCTGAGTTCAAATATTGCCTAAAGTTTTGATATTCAAGGCCTGAGCTATTTTTTTTTGGCAGAGAATTGAGGAATCTTATTCATTTTGTATTATATCCATTTTGAATAAATCAGTAACATAAAATCTTCATTTTATGGTTGCATTAACAAATTTCCCATCAAAATGTGGTCGGATGATACACTCTGTATGTACTACTACCAATGAGTCAAAATCCTACCATGGCTGTTTCCTCATCTTTCGGTTCTTCCCCGTCGTTCGGAACTGTTGTAAATTATAAGTAATTCATGGGCATTCTGTGGTGAGGTCTCTGCCTGGGTTTGCCATTTTCTTATTTTTGGTTTGCAGGCATGGTCGGAATGGCATTAGCAATAACGTACCATTTTAGGTGTACAGACGTAGGTGCTTGTTCTCTTGAATTTTCGGCCTGGCCTTTATGCAACGAGAGTGAGGATGGCCTTGGCAGAGAGGAGTGGAATGAGACCAAGGAATTCAGTACCAAAAGCCAACTGCTTCTGAAGATGAACCCAATTTACCAGAAAGTCCCAGTTTTGATCCAAAAAGAAAAACTTATTTGTGAATCACTCATCATTGTTGAATACATTGATGAGGTTTGGAATCAGAATTCTCCATTGCTGCCTTCTGATTCTTAGCAGAGAACTCATGCCAGGTGTTGAGCTAATTATATTGACAAAAAGTTATCCTATTTATCCTTTATTTTACTCCTACTTGATTATTTGTTTTACATTTATAAGCAAAACTTTGAGATAGATAGGATTTAAATCTTGATTATTAGAATTAAGAATTCAACACTTGGATTATGTAACTATTGGCAAAAGAATTGTGTAAATATTTACATAAAAAAAATGTTAATCCGTGCCTAATAATATTGGTAAGGAAGATATTTAATTAGAAAAAACTGGGACTAAAATAATTGCATTTCAAATTCGACCTAACTAGTGAATACTGTGATAAATTGGATACAATTTCGGGACTAGAAATCACATATGGTTCTATAAGATTACTTTTTCAAGTTTAATTTTGGATTATTTAATAAATAATTAGCAAGGTGTTATTATATGCAGATTTTCCTTATTGGAAGCAAGTTATGGACAACAGCAAGTGATGAAGCCAAGAAGGCCGCAAAGGAACTAGTTGAGAGCTTTAAATATTTAAACATTAGGAGAACTTGGAGACAAGCCACATTTTGGGGGTGAAACCTTTAGCTTCATAGATTTAGCTCTCATTGCTCTCTCCAGCTTTTTCCATTCATTCGAGACCCTTGGAAGCTTCTACATAGAAGTTGAGTGCCTTAAGATTGTGGAATGGGCAAAGAGATGCATGGAAAAGGAGAGTGTCTCTCAGTCTTTATTTGACAAATTTAAGACCCATGAAGCTGTTCTAGAGATCACAAAGATGTTGGGTTTTGCGTTATACAAATTTATTTTGCTCATGCTTTAGCAATTTAAATAAGGGTTATGGCAATTAAAAAAAAGAAAGTCTTTTAGTTGGTTTTATAACGTCTTCAATGGGTTTTCCCTAATGGGCTATTCATTTCATTGATATTACTAGAGATATAAAACTATTTGATTAAATTTATTAGATGCAAAGTTTGGTTTATCTTATAATAAAAAAGTTTGGCTTCTTCTTTTGACTCCAATTAAGAATTAAGTTGGATATTCTATTTTGTAATTAATACAGAGTTATGTTACGAGCCGTGTATTATTACCATAGATGTTAAGTAAAAGTGTAGTGATGTATTCAGCTAAGGTATCTAAAGCATTTTATCTGTAATTTTTTTTATTATAATCTTATAATTATTTAATTATAATAAAAAAAATTATAAAAGAATACATTACTTACAAATGTAGGATCCATATAAAATTTTGACAAACCTTATATAATTTTGAATTTAATTGATTAATTACAATACAATAATAATAATGATATACTCCCTCTAAGAAATCGATAGTCTTGAATCTTATTCCTACTTTTAATTTGATTAGGTACTCATGATTTATTTTCATTGTTCAATTTTTTGAAAAAAAAAAATCCAATTGTTCAACTCTTTGCATGTTTGATTCTACATAAAAAAAATAAAAAACTCTTGTTCTTACTTGTGTTTATTCTTTGCTCTCCTTAGTTGATTAGGTGGTTGATATATAGTATCATAATATATAGGTCTGTAAACCTATTGTTAAATATGACTTTAGAAGTTGTCACTAATATTTTTTTTAAGTGCGATTAACCATCTAATTGAATCTTTCTATTTTTAACGAGAATTTTCAAACTTGACTTAGGTACCTTTAAAAGATAGATTTTAGTTTACAAAATCAAAACTATCTTATTCCTACTCTTAATTTAATTAGATACTCATGATTTATTTTCATTGTTTAATTTTTTGAAAAAAAAAAAAAATCCCATTGTTCAACTCTTTGCATGTTTGATTTTACATAAAAAAAAAATCTTGTTCCTACTTGTGTTTGTTCTTTGCTCTCTTTAGTTGATTAGGTGGTTGATATATAGTATCATAATATATAGCTCTGTAAACCTATTATTAAATATGACTTTAGGAGTCATCACTAATATTTCTTTTAAGTGCGATTAACCATCTATTTGAATCTTTCCATTTTTAACGAGAATTTTCAAACTTGACTTATGTATCTTTAAAAGATAGATTCTAGTTTACAAAACCAAAACTAGGTTTGAAAGTATGGTTACACGTAAGAAAAGATATTACATCCTTACAACACCCATCTAAAAGATGGTATTAATTGATTTCATATTATCTAAAGCCTTAAAACATGTTTTTAATTTATCAAATAATTTAATTATTAAAAATTATTCTTAAAATTACTTCAATAGTTTGGTAGCAATTTAAGAAAATTTTCTTATCTTAAGAGTATTTATGGAGACTAATGTTTCACTCTAAAGAGACTCTGAGTCAGATTCATGAAGGTTTCTTGAAAAATTTATTATTTTCAAAATCAATAAAATCTTTCAATAGTTTAATAAGATTTTATTTTATGACACATGTAGATACTTCATTTAATCTAGGGTTAATTTTGTGTTTAGGAATTAAATGTTTAGATATTTTTGTTGTTATTTTTCATTTTATTTTGAGCAGTTTAATTAATTACAAAAACAAAATTAAAAATTAAAAAAAAAAAGAAAAAAATTTTAAAAAAGTTTGGTCGAGAACAAAATTAACAGGTTGAATTGAAAGTTTAATTAATAAAAGAGTGTATTTGGGAATAAGAACAAGAAAGAGACATGGATTAAAATGCAAAATTGAGTTTGATTAGGAAATGGAAACTAAGAAAAACTTATTCTATTGTGATTATAATTAGAGGCCTATAAAAAAAAATATCATTAGTAGTTGTAAAAATCAATTAGAAACAATCAAGAAATAAGTACAAAAAGAATAAAAAAATAAAAAACGTTGGCAAGAAAGCAAGAAAAAAATTGTGGGTCAATTGGTAAAAAAATTTAGGTATTGTTGTTTTCTTATTGATTTTTGGAAAGTTCTTAGTTAGATTATATGATTATTTAGGAATTAAGGGATTTAAGTTTGGGAAAACAAAACTAGAGGAAGAAATAGAAAAAAAATTTTATGGGTTTTTTTTTGAAAAAATTTTTGGGTTTATTGAATATTTTGACGGCCAATCTGAATTTTTTGGTGACTTTTTGTTAGATTTTATGTTTTTACGCTGTGATATAGGTTGCGTTGGAGTTTTTAGCTAGTGTTTAAAGGTTTCTTAAAGAGAAGTAAGAGGAAAATTTTTTGAAGAGAGAGAGAGCCAAAGCAAAAAAATGAAGGGAAAGAAAAATGTTGGCTTTCATATTCTCACTGAAATGGTACCGTTTTGGCTTAAAAATTTTTTGAAGATCCACACTTGACCAATTGCAGCCACGTGCCTACCTAGGTACATCCCAACCGGTTTGGCATAAAATCTCTTTTCAATTTTCGTTTGATTTTTCGTTTCGTTTTGATTTGATTTAATTTAATTTTTTTCTTTTTTCTTTTATTTATATTTTGATTAATTTATGTTGATTAAGTTATTTACTGTTCATAAAAATTTTAATTTAAAAAATAAAGTAAAACAATTAGGGATAAATAAAATTTCATGCAATGATGAAATTCTAAGGAAGATACGAATATGTAATTTTTTTGAAAATTTCTAGGTGAGAAAACTTTTTCTAAATTTGATCAATATATTAGAGAATTTAGAAATTGGTCTCAATATAGGAAATTTTTTTATTTTTTAATTTGGAAAAATTAACATTAGAAACAAATTATGATTTTATTTAATTGCATGATTGATTATTGGATAAATTGTGATTACATGTAAGGAATTTTGTATTGGATAAATTGTATTTTATAAATTATTATGCAATAAACTCTATAAAATATTTAATAAATCCGACAATGAACCTATTCAAGAAAATAGGCGTGCTACTTGAATATTCTTAAGGTGAAAAATATTTTTAAGGGGTCGATTAAAATGTTGGGAAAAACTTAAAAATACATCTAATATGTAAATATTAAAATTAACAAAAATAATAAAAAAATAAGAGTAAGTTAGAACCTTGGAATTAAGGCTAACTAGATAATTTAAGATTAGTTGATACAAATTTATGGGTATTATAGAGGTGCTATGACATTTCTAACATGTAATTGAACTCACGAACCTAATTTTGTTTAGAAAACAAAAACTTATTCTTTTTAAGAATCCTTAGTCAAGTTAGGAAACCTTAAAAGGGTAGATTCATTTAGATGATCAATCACACCTAGTTATAAAAGATTGTCGGTGACTTCATATGTTGTATTTTATAGGTTAGTTTTTAGATTTACACGTTATGATAGTTTAACGACCCATTAGGGACTTAGAGAGCCGAGCTAATTTTTAATGTTAGATTATTTAAGCTTTATTTGGATGGTCTTAATTTAATTATGTTTGTTATTTCATGTTTACTTATTTGTTTGTTCTTTATGTTTTATCTATTTATTTGGACAAGGAAGTTCGTTTAATTGTTTTTATGTTCCTTAACACATATTGCACATGCACTTCATACGTAAGCTTTTTACTCGAGCTTTATCCTCTTTTAAGAGGGAACAAGTAACTAAAATCTTGTGAGGTGATAACCTTCGTGTAAACTAGTGAAAACTCTCACTTAAATTGAATATTTTTCGTTTGAAACTTATTATGAGTGAGGATTGTGGTACCTTACTAGTTTGTAATGGACGATGATGTAGGGAACAATTTAAAAATCTTTATATTATCAAAATATCCTAATCCTGCGAAAAATCATAAAAAGCCAACCTTACGTTAAAACCAACCTTATGTTAAAGCCATATCCGTCCATTGTTAGAATGTAATCCAAGTTAGGACACATGAAAGAACTTTTGTAGTTTCATTTGTATGAATTTAGTGATAAAGAGTTTGAGTTTATATAGTCTTTCATGTGTTGTTATGCGTTAAATATTAAGACATTCATACATTTATTCACCCATGCATCATTGAAATTTTATGTATCTAGCATCTAATATATGTATTCATCCATTAATGTATCATTAAATTTTTATGTTAACATGCATCATTGTAGGGGCAAACATTAACTCATGCATCCATTCATACAGTAATTTATCAATCCATGCATCATTAAATTGTTATGTGCATGCATTTATTCATTCATGCATCATTGAATTATTGTGTATCACATCCAATACATACATTCATCTATTCATTCACGCATGTAGAAGAATTTTTCTAACAAGTTAGGATAATTCTTGGCACCTAGCAACATATCATCCTAATTGTGGTAAAAAAATTCAAGGATAGCTCAGTCATCACATAATCTCTGACAATCTACTCATCATTGCTATAACACTCATTTTCAAGTGAAGCTTATGGAACAGAAATAAGCTAGTCAAATTGAAAAGGTTGAGAAAGCCTAAATGAAAATCAAGGGAGAGTTAGAAATGATTATGGATATACTTAATAAGATGAATAAAGGAAAGCCTATATAGGACATTCCCACTTTGCTAGATCACCCATCCTAAGATGTTGTAGACCCTTTATACCCTCTTGGGTATAACTCATACCAAGCCCAAACATCTCAAGGGGTGTAAAGACAACAATTTTTTTGGGGTATATCTATATGCAAATCCTAGAATGCTATCTACAATTCCCTAAAGATTATTCCAAACTTATACCAATCCTTCATTTAGTGAGAAAGAATCTAATCTTGTTCAAGTTCTTAATCTAGATGGTCCTAAGGAACAAAAAAATTAAAGATAAGTACTTTTAAGGTAATGAAAGATTTTTTCACTCAAAAGATGAATATAGTAGAAGAGAGATTTTAGGTTGTTAAAGGGATGAACTTTTATGGGTTTATGGATGCTTCTGAATTATGTTTAATGTTTGATGTGGTGATCCCTACTAAATTTAAGGTCTTTGAATTTGAGAAATACAATGTGACCAAATGCTCTGTGAGTCATGTCACCATATATTATTGTAAAATGGCTGCACATACTCGTAATAAGAAGCTTATGATTCATGAATTTCAAAACTGTCTAATAGGTTATATCATTAAATGGTATGTCTAATTTG